CAGGCATATCAGAGATGAGATGGGGAATTTGATTTTGCAATAATGATTACTTGTTGCTGGAGCCCACATTCCTGCAGGCTCTGCCTTTATTCCCAATACTGCTGGTGAATAAAACTAATTCCACCTGCTACCTAATCTAGCAAAACTCATCTTTCACTTACGAGAGAGGCCCAAAAAGGTAGACAGGAAGTCAGGAGAATTTGAGATCTTGAATATCTTTGCTATTATGTCTCAAGGATTTCTGCTTCCATTATCGTGATTCCTTTAGGAATATTTTAATCTTTTAAACTTTCTTTGTGGGGAGGATGAAGGCTTTGCATCTTTTCCAGCCTGGTGAGTTAATGTGATGGCTCATGCGTGCTGTCTCTTCCACTTCAAAGAGACTGGGTCCCTAGGGCTAGCCAATTGTATTATGGATCCTGCAGATTTGGCTTGCCATTCCTGCTGAGTGTCATCTGTCCTAACGGTCTTGCAGGGGATACTTTTTTTCCCCCTTAACATCATCTGCCTGAGAAATTTGTGCCTGGCAGGCCTGTCTGTCCAAATTAAGCTTGAAATACAGTAGCCACACAACTAATTCGACAAGGCATAGCTCTGAACAACAAGGCCAGAGGCTTGCTGTGACCAAGACCACAAACTTCCAGTTATCGGATTACCAATTCCAAAGTTTCTTTGGTGCAGTCCATGAACCAAACCAGTCTGTTCACGTAATGTAGGTTATCCTTCCCCTACTGTCTCATTGTTCCTGACCTTCTACACACACACACTTATCTTAAAGTCACTTAGAGATTTTTAACCCTCTGGCTGGTCTCATCAGCTCTGTAGTTTCTGACTGCTTTCAGCATTTGACTTGAGCCCTGTTCACTTGGATAAAAGAACTCTAGAATTGACTATCATTGTCAGAAGTTTGGGGAATGCGTAACAGATATCACACTAAAGCAGGGGTTCTCAGACTTTAGTGTGCGTGGTAAATCACCTAGCACTTCTCAAAACACACATTGCTAAGCTCCAATCTGAGTTTATGTGATTTGATAGGTCCAGTGTGGTGACCACACCACGAGGACCATTGTAGTACACCTGTCCAAAGCTGGGGTGACAATCAGGCATAGAGTAGCTGTATCACTCAACAGCTGGTACTTTTGTGACATTTTCTGAAGGTGTGACCAGTGGGGGGATGGAGCTCTCTACGTTTTGATTAGTCAGCCCCATCACAGGAACACAGGTCCTCTTTGTGGTGGCCCTGCAGTTGGGTGCCTCATGTTCTCCAAGTGGTGTAACTACAACAGAAGCATTTGTAGGGGTAAGAAGAAGGATTGAGGACAGGACTGTTGAGTGGTTGCCACCTGGAAGACAGCTGATCTCAAAGCACAACATGCTACTTCCACCAAAATCTCAAGTCTAGTGTGCCCGGTGTATTCCCAAAACTTCATGAGATTAATATGTAGAAATATTTACCATCTAACCCCCAAAGACCCTCTAGTCTTTTTCTCTCCTTTGCTTTCATTAGTTTCTTCCATTTTTAATTTTTTTCATCTGCTTCAAAAATAGGTTAGACAAAAGGGGATAACAGAAATGTCAACAGAAAATGTGCCAGAGGAAATCTCAGGAAGCAGATAAGATAAAAAGCAAAATAAATTTAGGAAGTCCCTTCCCCCAGTTATGCTTATCCTTGATGAACTTATACCAAGGAATGAATTTCAATTTTGTTCTCTGTATGTATATAATTAAGTGCTCATTTTATTTCTATTTTCTAATTTTCATAAGCTTCAATATGGATGTAGCAATTATTACCCTGAAGTAAGAACTTTACTCCTACTAAATTAATATTATTTCCATGATTTAGAAGTCTTAACTCTCAAAAAGCACAATAATTGGAAAAATCCCTTTACAATTCCATGGTTGAAAAGTGTCTGATATTGAGTCTCTGGAAAATGATCTTGTAGGTATAAGATGATGGTGAGAACAGCTATTCTTAAAACACAGAAGTAGTTAGTGTATGATTCCATGCATGTAATACTTTTTTTTAAATTTTTTTTTAAAGATTTTATTTATTTATTTGAGAGAGAGAGAATGAGAGATAGAGAGCACGAGAGGGAAGAGGGTCAGAGGGAGAAGCAGACTCCCTGCTGAGCAGGGAGCCCGACGTGGGACTCGATCCCGGGACTCCAGGATCATGACCTGAGCCGAAGGCAGTCGCTTAACCAACTGAGCCACCCAGGCGCCCTGTAATACTTTTTTAAAAGACCAAATTTTAGAAATGGAGAATATATTATAGGTTGCCACGGGTTGGGATGGGGACAGAGAGGAAAGTAGGTGTGATTACAAAAAGGCATCCAGGGGGATCGTTATGGCTTTGAAACTGTTCAATATGTTGACTGTGATGATGGATACATGAACCTACAACCTAAAATTGTACAGAGCCAGGGGCGTCAGAGGGGCTCAGTCCGTTGAGCATCTGACTCTTGGTTTCAGCTCAGGTCAGGGGGTCATGGTCTCAGGGTGGTGAGATTGAGCCCCACACGGAGCTCAGTGCTCAGCAGAGAGTCTGCTTGGGATTTCTCCCTCTCCCTCTCCCCCTGCCCCCGTTAATAAATAAATAAATATTTTAAAAATTGTATAGAGCCAAACACACACACACACATACACACACCATGAATACAAGTAAAATGGGAAAGGTGGATAAGATCCATGGATTGTATTGATGTCAATATCCTGGTTGTGATTTTAACAGTTGCAAAATGTTACCACTGGAGGAAAAGGAGGTGAAATATACAAGGAATCTCTCTATTATTTCTTGCAACTGTGTGAGAATCTGTAATTATCTCAAAGTTTCATTTAAGAATACAGAAAAATCTCATGGATCCAGACAAGAGATCACACAAGACCTTTGGCAAGATGACATAGAGTCCAAGGACATGCTCATAGAAGCCCTAACCCTCGCTGAAGTGCATGATGCAACAGCACTGCTCGTGTGACTCTTTTCTGACTTTTTGCTACGGACCTAAGCATTCCAGACAACAACATAACTCAGTGATATACAGAACAGAACAATCAAACAGCTAGAACATGTATCTGCAGACTATAAGCAACAGAACTGAAGAAGAGTAATTGTATAGTGATTTAATATTGTTCCCTCTGGTAGACTATACACTCACTGAGAGAAGGAAAAGGCTGAGCAGTCTTGCTCACCCCTGTATCTCAGCTCCTAGCGCTGCACTTGGTACATAGAAAGTGCTCACTACACGCTTGTTAAATGTGTTTGAATGAAAAAAATTTACAGCCCATATGTCCTTTTAGAGGTAGAATGACTTCTCTCTTCCCTCCTTCCCAGTCTCCCTTCCCCACTCTCTCCTCACCCACCATCTACAGGTAGACACACGCACAGGGACCAAGACTGTTTCTGCCACATTGCAAGTCGCACAGTCATTTAACCTCTCTGTGCTTCAGCCTCCTCATCCGTACAATGAGGATAATAATAACAATAATACCTACTTCAAAGGACTGACATGAGGGTTAGATGAATTAATATGTGTGAGCACTTATGACATTATCTGGCGTATCATGGGTGCCGTGTAGGTATTTGTTCAGTTGCAACACAATTCTGACACCGATTACAGGAATTAGCTTAGACCCCACAGGTAACAGACACCATTCTCTACAAGACTGCCCTCACTTTAGACACCAGGCACAAGCTCCAGGTTCCTAAGACACCCGTGTTTCTGGCCAGCTGTCTACAAATTTTGGAGGTTCCCACCCTACCCCCTCGGGTTCAGTAATTCATTAGAATGGTTCATAGAACTCAGGGAAGTACTGTACTTATGATTATAGTTCTATTGTAAGGGATACAAATCAGGACCAGCCAAATGAGTACATGCATGGGGTGAGATCTGGGAAGGTCCCAAACATGAAGCTTCTGTATCCTCAGTACGCCCCATCCTCTAGATACATCAGTGGGAGATTACCAACTGGGAAGCTCACTGGAGCCTCTGTGTCCAGGAGGTTTTATTGGGGTTTTATTACTTAGGCATGGATGCTTGAATTATTGGCCATGTGACTGAACTCAGTCCCCAGTCCCCCTCTGCTCCCCAGAGGTCAGTGTTATTTCATGGCTCAAAGCCCCAACCCTCTAATCAGACGTTGGTCTTCAAGCATGGCCAGCTCCCATCCTGAAACCATCTAAGGGCCCTTGGGAGTGACCTCGTTAGCATAAACTCAGGCCACCATGAATAACAAAGACACTGCTATCAATTGAGATATTTGAGATATTCCAAAGATTTAGAGGTTATCTCCAAGGAATCAGGAATAAAGATCAGCCCAATTCTTTATTATACAACATCAATAAAGTTTACTGAATTGAATAGGCAGAAAGGGCAAGAAAAGCATTCCAGGAAGGGAGTGTCTAAAGAGAAGCAGCAGAAATATGCCTGGCACAGTCATGGCACAGTGGAAAGACCCCCCTAGCTGACCGGGCTTTGCTACATTGAAATGCACCAGCCTTGTAGTCTAAAGACCAGAGTTCTGACGACGGTTCTGCTATCTGATAGCCACGAGCCATCTCATGGGAGTATAGGGATCATTGTAACCCATCGTAAATCCTGTCTAGGAGAGATGGGCATAATTGAAACAGAGACCATTTAGTGAATTTATTTATTATTTCTCAAAATTTTACTATTTGTTACCAATGTATTATTTCCCCCCCCACAAAATTCATTATTTCTCACAATACTGTGGTTGGAGTGTTATGGAACCTGGATTGGATCGCCTGTGGGAAGAACCAAGCAGCACTCAGAGATCTTGGAGGATAGGAGGTTTATTTAACGCCCACGGGCTCAGAGGAGAGTGGTCTCCAAAGGTCTGAGCCACAAGCACAAAGGGGGTAATTTATACACTTCTACTTCCGCATACTAGGCAGTCTTGGCATGTGTGGGAAGCTGGGCAGGGAGAAGAACCCGGAAGAGCCCTGGAGCAGGGGCTGGGACTCCCTTGCTGGGTCGGTCGGCCATCTTAGGACACAGAGTTCCCTTATCAGGAGTAGGCAGTTTTCGGGCTTGTGTGGCGTTATTAGCTCCACAGCAGTTCATGCGACTGCGTTCAAAAAGGTTGATGGCTGGGATGAAAAGAGCTGAGAATGACTCCCTCACACATCTGTGGCCTCATGCTGACTGCTTGCTGGCTCAGTTCTCACCCACATAGCCTCTCTCTACACGTGATGTCTCATCTTCCAGGGCTTCTCCACATGACGGCCTTCCTACAGCAGGACAGCCTGGACTTCCTGACAAGAGAGCAAAAGTAGAAACCGCCAGGTGTCTCAAGGCCCAACACCGGCCCAACATTTTTTCCACCATGTTCTATCTATCCAAGCAAGTCACAAAGTTTCGAGGGGAGGGGAGACCAACTCTATCTGAGCAACATGTTGCATGTGTACACACGGAGGGAAGGAATCACTGCAGTCACCTTTGGATACTCTAGCATGTTCTCTGACCCTCAATTTACTCATCAAAGTGGGTATTTTAATAGCTACCTCAACTAGATTCATGAGAAAAGACATGTCATATGATATGTGATAGCGTTTTATAAATTGTAAAGTGCTAAAAAAGTACAGGATATTTTAGTGGTGGGTGATAAATGTGGATTGGAAGAATGAGAACAGATTATGCAGGGCTTTAAAAGGAGATAGAGGAGGTTATAGGAGTCATAATAACATTTATTGAGCATTTGCTATGCGCCAAGAATTGTACTAAGCGTTTTATGGGTATTATCTTCTTTAATCATCAAAATCTTATAAATGGATATTTTATTGCCATTTTTACAGCTAAGGAACTGCAGGCAAGAGGCAGAGCCAGAATTTCAACCCAGTTCTGTCTGGTTCCAAAGTCTTAACTACTACTGTACCAAAATTCTTCTATCACTTATAGTCAATCAGCAGTTGGGTAGGGGGAGATAGCTGCTACCCCACAACTACTGAAACAAAATTTTTGAATGTAGAACCCGGAATCTGCATACTTAATAGCCACATTAATGTGGAAGAAGCATTAACCTCACTGTATTATAGGGAGCCTTTTCAGATTTTTCAGTATTTCAAAGACACTGAGAAGACAAGCTGAAAGGAAATTTAGCTTGCAGGTGCAGAAGAAAACTTGAAAAAGAAAAGTACTTAGAAGTGGGGAGAATAATGAAGGCTTTAAAAATAATTACATTTTCTAGAGGTTGATGCTAAAGCTGAGGGAATGGAATTGAGACTAGAAAGCTTACAAATCAGACTCAATAACTTGCAGTTAATCAAGAGTACATTTCATGTGTTAATTCATCTATTTTATGCCTCTTTGCCTTTGGGCTTGTTATTTCCTTCGCTAGAAAACCCCAATTTCCATCTTCTTCTCACCCAACCTGATCAACCTCTCTTCATTTCGGTTCTGAGGACAAATAGGTGCCTCCTCTGGGAAGTCTTTCCTGGCCACCTCCCACCCCCAGGTGTCCCACATGTGTACTGTACCTTCCTCAATGCTATCATTTATAGGCTTCATATTCTAAACGTTGGCTTATGTTCCATCTTCAGCACTAGACTGCAATACCCTGGAGGGTAAGGGCTGTACAGAAAGAGACAGGGGGAGACTAGGTGATTCTTAGAAAGAACCACTGGATGAACATAGGAGGTGAAGGAGCCATTGCAAAGCTGCACGTTGTCTGTACTTTGAACAAACGTGAAGACTTGTTGAGATTACAAGATGAACTTTATGGAGTTTAACAAACCGCAGCAATTAGATACATGCAGCTCCAAAGTTGACATTTCATGACCACAATTCAAAGCTGCCTAGCAAACCGGCCCCTTCCGTAATTACATGTATTTTATCTTAGACCATATAACAACCAGTTGAAATTTTGTACATACAAATACCAAGAACAAATTTGTTTTTTCTTCACATGGGCAAGAATGAGCCTAAGTGATTTGGGCAAATTACTTTAACCCTGTTTCATTTGTTAGAAAGAAATGGTAAAACCGTTTCCCTGAGTTGCTATGATGACTAAACGCGGCAATGCCCCTCAAAATGCTTTATAACATATTGGTGGTAGGTAATAACAGAGATAATATACTTCTACTACTATTAATATTATTCTGCGACTGTATCTCCTCTCTCCCATCCTCCCTAAACCAGAATAAATTCCAGCGAATTTAAGGAGAAACGACTGAATTTCACACCAACGTTCCAATTCCGGCCGCATTTGCCCTAACCCAGCATGGCGGCATCTGCTTCTTGAAGTCCCCATCTCTGGCTACACTAACGCAATTGCCCGCTGGGTAGACTCAGCTTTCCCTACGCCCTTTGATGACGCCCTAAACCCACGCCCGGAAGGCGGGCAACGCAGGTCTGCGCAGGCGCAACGCGGAGGCGGGTGGGCGGAGCAGGTCGCGATGAGTGGCGGAGAGACGGAGACCCCTGTGGGTTGTGAGGCCACCCCGGGCGGCGGCGACAAGAAGAAGGATTCGCTGGGGACCGCGGGCTCGCCAGCGCATCTCATTATCAAGGGTACGGAGTGGTAGGGCTATCGCTGTGGTGGAGCCCGGCGCTACTCCACCTCCCAAGCGGCGCCCTCTGACCCAGGGCCGCTCTCCAGGGCGCCTCCCAGCTCCCGCGCGGCCTCGCGTTCGTGGGAAGTTGGGGGAGTAGCGGCCAGAGCCCGCCTGGTTTCCTACGCCAGATGCCTCCCAGTAACAACCAACCAACCCAGTCCCTCTTACTTTTTCAAAAAAGCCGCGGATGTGCGTCTTGGGCCCCGCCCCTTCTCCCCTTTCCCTTGCAGGGGACCTTTGAGCGCGGAGCTGCTTTGGACGCTGCCTCACGACGGTCCTATAACGCTTAGGGAGGCATGGAGCTTGGGTGTCGGGTAGGGCCTGCGCCCCCCCGGTAGGTCGCTTAGGAGTTGGGTGACTTTGGGTGGTCTGCTTGACCTACTCTGTCCTTGTCTGCTCCTGGGTCATGCAAGGAATAAGTGAGATAACATACATGAAAGCGTCTTAAAACATGAAAGCGCCATACACGTGTAGAGATGTCCATTTGTCTTCCCTGCTTTGCGCTTTGAGAAGGGTACATCCCGGATTCTCACAGAACCTGAATACTCGACTCCCAAAGCTCGCAACAACCCTATTTTCGTGTAGCAGGATCTTTGCCGGTTAGGTACGGAATTTCTCATCCTCAGTCCGTATCCATTTTTTTTTTTTTTAAAGATTTTACCTATTTATTCATGAGAGACGGGGGGGGGGGGAGAGAGAGACAGAGACAGAGACAGAGACAGAGACAGGCAGAGGGAGAAGCAGGCTCCCAAGGAGCAGGGAGCCCGATGCGGGACTCGATCCCAGGACCTCGGGATCATGACCTGAGCCGAAGGCAGCTTAACCATCTGAGCCACCCAGGCGCCCCAGTCCGTATCCATTCTTAATCCTATGCTGACCCTGTCTGTCCTAGCATCTTGCAGCGTGGAAGCCCTCGTAGGATGCCAGAGTCCTTCACTACCAAGAGAATGACGTCCTTTGGTTGCTGCCTCTTTCATTTTGACCTTACCTGTCAGGACTGTAGACCGCTCAGCACAGCTGGCTGTGGGTTGGCTATTTTTCTAGACTTTAGGTTGTAAAAATCTGATTAGGGGTGTGGGAGTGGTGCGTGAGTGTCGGGGCTAAAGTATAAATGTTTATATGTGCTAAGTGAACTACTTAAAAATGTTTTTAATTGCCGTGAAATACAGGTAACATAAAATTTATCTTCACCATTTCTAAGTGTACAGTTCAGTGGCATTACTACCTCCACATTATTGTGCAGCCATCACCACCATCCATCCCCAGAACTTTTCATCCTCCCAAACTGAAACCCATTGTACCAGTGAAACACTAACTCCCCATCTCCCCCTCCCTCTAGTCCCCAGCAACCACCGTTCTACTTTCTGTATCTGTATGTGGCTACTCTAGGTAATTCATACACATGAAATCATAAAGTATTTGCCCTTCTGTGACTGGCTTATTTCACTGTGTATAATGTCCCCAAGGTTTATCCATGTGGTAGCATGTGTCAGAATTTCCTTCCTTGTAAAAGCTAAATAATATTCCACTGTATGTATAGACCACATTTTATGTAGCCATTCCTCTCTGAATGGACCCTTGGGTTGCTCCCACCTTTTTGGTTATTGTGAGTAATGCTGCTGTGACCATAGGTATGCAAATATCTGTTTGAGTCCTTGCTTTCAGTTCTTTTGAGTGTATGTGTACCCAGAACTGGAATTGCTGGATCAAATGATAATTCCATTTTTATTTTTTTTGAGCAGTCACCATACAGTCTTCTGTAGTGGCTGCACTATTTTTACAGTCTCACTCACAGTGCACAAGGGCTCCAATTCTACGCATCCTCACCAACACTTGTTATTTTGTGTCTTTGGCAGTGGCCCTCTTTAATGGGTATGAAGTCCTGTCTTGCAGTTTTAATTTGCATTTTCCTAATGATCAGTGATGTTGAGCATCTTTTTATGTGCTTATTGACCATTTGTATATCTTCTTTGGAAAAATGTCTATTCAAGTCCTTTGCCCATTTTTCAATCAGGTTGTTTTTTGTTGTTGAGTTGTAGTTCTCTATATAGTCTGGATATTAACCCCCTTGCTCATGGATGATTTGCATATATTTTCTTCCATTGCATGGGTTGCCTTTTCACCCTGTTGATTGTATCCCTTGATGCATAGGTTTTGGTTTTTTTTAATTTTCATATATTATTTTTTAAAGGTAATTCAAGGAAAGTTTTTCAAGTTAATTGAAAATTGAGTTTTAATTAAAAAATATGTCCAGAATTTCCTTGACTTTTTTTTATGGAACCATTCACTCTTTTCATTCTGAAAATCTATTTTTAGTTCATTCTTATTTAAAGACCATCGGTTGTGAACAGATCATTGTTGAATTTTATTGCCAGAGTCTAGTGAAAGGGAAACATAATAAATGATTTCAGGACTTGTGCCCTGGGTCTTTAAGGGTTTCTGGCCCATGGTTTGGGTGTTAAGAAGTAAGAACTGGGAAACAGGGAGGGCTTCCTGGACACTGTAGTGTCTGATCTGAGTCTTGAGGAGTCAAGTGTTAGCAGTTAATAAAAGAAGGCAAGGCTATTTTGGACTTAGTTTAGAACAGCATGAGCAAAGATGTGGAGGCATGGCATGTTTGGGAAGCTACATGTATTGCTACAGTGCGACTCTGAGAGAGGTGGAGTTTGGTAGAAATCAGACCATAGAAGACTTCTCGCCTTTTTAGGGAATTGGACTTTTTCTTGAATGGCAGGAAACTCTCCAGCAGTAAGTATGAGAATCATGTGGTTAGATTCATATTTTAAATAAAGCACTCAGGCAGATAACTGTGGATCCTCATCTTGTGCATTGGGTGTTAGTGAATTTGTCTAATTGCTAAAATGAATTTGTAACTCCAAAATCAATACTGATGGTGTTTTCATAGTCATTCCCACATGCACAGAATAGAGAAAAATTTGAATCTCCCTACATGCACATTTGTAGTTGAGACTGAACAAGGCAATGCTCTGCTTTTTGTTTTAGCTCTTACACCATAAGTGTCCTTTTTGCTTTTTATTTAGTGTCATATTTTTCACATTTTTGTGCTTTTTGATGGTGATTTTGCTTTTTAAAAAGATCCCCAAGGTGTAGTGCTGAGTTTTCCCTAAGCACAAGAAAGCTGTGGTGTGCCTTACAGAGAAAATACTGTATTAGAGAAGTTTCTTTCAGGTATGAGTTAGAGTGCTGTTTGGTGCAAGGTAAATGTTAATTAGTCAACAATCTAGAAAAAGGAAGGGCATTCACCAATTTGTGTGTTAGGCCAGTCTGGAAAGTGCCAAAGTAACATTTATAGCGTGTGATGAAGTGATGGGAAAGCAGCTAAATTTGTGGATTCCTGAGATGATTTAGAGAGCGTAGTGGACAGCATTGCTGTGAAGCTGAAAGCCAAAGGAATTCATGGTCGGTTGGATAAGGTCAGGAAAATGTTAAACCCTTCTGGTCTAGGGCTGGCCACACTTTCATAGGTGGTACAGTGTGAAAAATGTTTGACTTGCAGGTGAAGTAGGTTATGCAGGTAAAAATAACTGGTAAGTGTTAATACAGGAGAAATTGTTAACGCTGTAAGAGCAGATTTTGGAATGCTAAGACTGGCATGTTTTACAAGGATGTTGGTAAGCCTGTGTAATACAGATGGCATTTTGGTGTGACAGAAATGAGATCAGAGGCCTGCAGAAGAAAGCTAAGCCTGTATTTCCTCTAGGAACAGTAGTTCAGTACTTGCTAGTTCAGTGTTCGAGGCAACTTTATAAACATTACTACTGCAAATGACAAGAACTCTGTAGAGTGGGTTACAGAGAGGTATGACTGTGTTCGAATCCTAGTGAGACAAGCAGGGATGAAAACGAGGTAATGGATCTGAGAAGTGGTGAGGAAGAGTAACATCTGTTTGGTGATGCAAAGGACGTTATCAGAAAAATTGCAGTAAATTGTTCCATATGATATTACATTAAAGGCCTGGAAATTCAGGGCCAGAGGAGAAACTTCTTTTATTAGATAATGAGAGATCTACAATTGACTGTTTCTCCTTGTTTCATAGCCACAGAGCAGCATATTGATCTTCCATTAAAGTGCTCATCTCTTTTGTGTGAAGGGATTTTTGTCCATCTCCCATATTAGAGTATGAATTTTTGGAGGACAAAAGATTATATCAAACAACGAAAGAATGCTTTGCGTGCAATAAGGTTGGGGTGGAACTTTCGTGAAAATCTGTAACTTATATTTACACCATCAGACTCGGAGAATTTTAGTCCTTGCGACTCCTGCATTGTAATGTGCTTGCTTTGTTGTTATAATGTTATAACAAAACTAGTTAGTGGCTTAATTTCTGTGGTCATGTGTATTTTCTCCCTAGATCTTCACTCTCTTAAATTTTGGGGCACAGTCAGGGTTTTAGAAGTGATCATTATCCACTTCTAAACAGAATTGAATTCTCTCTCCGAAGGTCACATAAGTTCTCCTTATATCAGGCTCCCCAAATCAACAAGGCTTAATGGCTTCTCCATCACACAGAAAAATACATGTTAACTCCTATGTCTTCTGTGGATGATATAAATAATTTGGTGTCTGAGATACTCCCTGGAAGAGAAATACAATTTTAGGACAACATAGTAAGTAGTATGATAGAAGTAATTGCCCCTGGTGCGTTGGGAGCATAAAGTGGGGGCACTCCTTGA